GCAGTTTCCCACTGCTGCCAGTCAAAAGGGAGAAATTTAAGGTGGGGTGTAATGGCTCAAACCTGTAATCCCAGCACTTTGGGATGCCGAGGTGAGAGGATTGCCTAAGCTCAGGGGTTTGAGACCAGCCTGGGCAACTTCATGAGTCCTTGTCTCTACAATAAATCAAAAAATTAGCCAGGTGTGGTGGCACATGCTTGCAGTTTCAGCTACTTGAAAGGCTGGAGACGCAGCTCCGGGGACCGAAGAGGCAGGACATGACACAAGTGGCACATCACAGCCATGGGGTCTCAGCATTCCGCCACTGCTCGCCCCCTCTCCTGCAAGCAAAAGCAAGAAGATGACAGGGAGGAGTTTCTGGCTGAACGAGAGCAGGAAGAAGCTATTGCTCAGTTCCCATATGTGGAGTTCACTGGGAGAGATAGCATCACCTGTCTCACCTGTCAAGGGACAGGCTGTATTCCCACAGAGCAAGTAAATGAGTTGGTGGCTTTGATCCCACACAGTGATCAGAGATTGCGCCCTCAGAGAACTAAGCAGTATGTCCTCCTGTCCATCCTGCTCTGTCTCCTGGCATCTGGTTTGGTGGTTTTCTTCCTGTTTCCACATTCAGTCCTTGTGGATGATGGCGGGGTCAAAGTGGTGAAAGTCACATTTAATGAACAGGACGCCCTTATAATCCTCACCATGACGGCCACTCTGAAGATCAGGAACTCCAACTTCTACCCCGTGACAGTGACCAGCCTGTCCAGCCAGTTTCAGTACATGAACACAGTGATTGGCACATATGTGGCAACTAACGTCTCCCTCATTCCACCTCGGAGTGAGCAACTGGTGAATTTTACTGGGAAGGCCGAGATGGGAAGACCATTTTCCTATGTGTACTTCTTCTGCACGTTACCTGACATCCTGGTACACAACATAGTGATCTTCATGCGTACATCGGTGAAGATTTCATACATTGGCCACATGACCCAGAGCTCCTTGGAAACACATCACTATGTGGATTGTGGAGGAAATTCCACAGCTGTTTAGCACCTGCTTGTGGTTCTTCCACGGCAGCACCTGTAGAAGAGAGCACAGCATCTGTTCCTGAGTTCTGAGTTCTGTACCATCCCCAGGTGGTATGAACAGAGGAGGAATTGGTTCTCTTAACTCCCAGCAAACATCCTCCTGCCACTTAGGAAAAAACCTCTCTGCAGTACCATTTACGTTTCTCACAACCAGCAGAGTCACTGCCCAGGGCCTAGCCTGTGCCCAGCAAATAGGAGGCATTCAATAAAGGTTTGCAGAGTTTAATTCAGTTATTTTCAGCTGTTCTTCAGACATTATAAATGAGAGTCACACCATGGTTCTAGGTTATCTAACCATGGAGTGACATGGAAATAGGACTGTTAATGCAGCTGTAGCCTATTGTCGGTGTCCCATCTGTGCAGAAGTGGCAGCAGAGGGGACCGTCAGAATACCTAGAAGAAGAAAGCACAGATCCATTAGTATGTGAATTTGTTTCATCTGTTCCCAAATGGCTGGGAGCTTTTTTAAAATGAAAAAAAAAGAAAAAAGCTTTTTGGTGGTTTTTGTTTTGTTTTGTTTTGACCCAGAATCTATGTGGGGCTTGATTTACCCTTCATCCATTGGCTGGAACATGGATTGGGGATTTGATAGAAAAATAAACTCTGCTTTTGCTTCAAAAAAAAAAAAAAAAAAGAAAGGCTGGAGCAGAAGGATCCCCTGAGCCCAGCAGATTGAGGCTGCGGTGGCTGTGAACGTGCCACTGCACTCCAGCCTGGGCCACAGAGTGAGACTCCAACTAAAAAAAAAAAAAGAAGGGGAAATTTGCACACAGAGGTTGACAGGCAGGCACACAGGGAGGAAACCGTGAGGAGGTGCAGGCATATGCATCCACAAACCCAGGGGTTACCAAGACTGCGAGCACACCCCAGGAGCCAGGGAAAGACCAGTTCCCACCAGGAGAATCTGCCGTGCTGACGCCTCGGCCTTGGACTTCTGCCTCCAGGACCATGAGACAATTCATTCCTGCTGTTGAAGCCACCCAGCCGGCGGTCCTTTGGTAACAGAGCCCGGCCCCTCAGTAGGGGTGGGCAGCATCCAAACCAGACTGTTCCAAGGCCGTCTCGCAGCTGTGGCCCTGGTAGAGTCACCTCTCTTGATCCTGTGTCAGAGTCCGGCCCAGTGCGGTTGATGCCCACATGCACCCACGCCGAGGCTGCAGGAGAGCCCAGGGCAGGGAGGCAGCCACCCTCCATGCCCCAACTTCCCTGGAAAGAGAAGGCCTTGAGGCCTGCCTCAGATAAAGGCCTTTTCCAGTCTCCTAAGCTGCCTCCTGTGTGGACAGCTTATTCGGACATGCCTCGGTGGACTGTGTTGACCCAACAAACACTGGCCTTGCTGCTGAGACCCTGGGCCAGTTCACATTCAAAATTCTCTTGAGAAACAGGGGCTGAGCATGGTGGTTTGCACCTGTAATCTCAGCACTTTGAGAAGTGGAGGTAGGAGGATCGCTTGAGCCCAGGAGTTCGAAACCAACCTGGGCAACATAGCGAGACCTTGTCTCTACAAAAAATTTAAAAATTAGCTGGGTCTGCTGGCATGTGCCTGTAGTCCCAGCTACTTGGGAGGCTGAGGCAGAAGGAACACCTGAGCCCAGGAGGTCAAGGCTGTGGTGAGCCATGATTGCGCCACTGCACTGCAGCCTGGTAACAGAGTAAGACCCTGACTTAAAAATAAAAATAAGCCTGGTGTGGTGGCTCAAGCCTGTAATCCCAGCACAATTGAGAGACAGAGGTGAGAGAATTGCCTGAGCTCAGGGGTCCAAGACCATCCTGAGCAACTTAGCGAGACCTCGTCTCTACAATAAATCAAAAAATTAGCCGGGCATGGTGGTACATGCCTGTGGTTCCAGCTACTTGGAAGGCTGAGGCGGAAGGATCGCCTGAGCCCAGCAGGTTGAGGCTGCAGTGGCCACGAGCATGCCGCTGCACTCCAGCCTGGGTGACAGAGTGAGACTCCGACTCAAATAAAATAAAATAATAAAACACATTGCAAGCCTCTGCCCAAATGCAACTCTCTGGGTCTTGGTTTCCTCATCTGGAAAATAGGCCTAACTTAGCCCTCTCTCCGGGCTGTGAGGGTAGGTTCTGAACATGTCCAAATTCAAGGCAAGCCTGGATAGAGGCCATCCCCTTCTTCCCAGTTAAAGTTTAAAATAGATGTTGGACATTTTGAACAGAAAATCTTTTAGAGAAATGGGTGAAACAAGCAAAGGTTGGCTCAAAATATGTATTTTGATGACACAGATATATATAAAATGACACTGTAGTTCATTTTAAAATGTCTTTTTAAATTGGAAAAATATCGTTTATTTAGAAAGCAAATTAGAGAAGGAGAGAGATAGAGAGAGAGAGATAGAGAGAGAGAGAGAGAGAGAGAAAGAGAGAGAGAGGGAGAGAGGGAGAGAGGAAGGAGATTCACCTCCCCAAGGCAGGGGAAGAGGGTCAAAGCTAGAAAACAAGGTGACCCTAACTCAAAGAACCACATGGTTAGAACCTAGCTTAGCACAGCAATGGCTAAAAATTATTAATTAGAGAGGAGATTCACCTCTCCAAGCTAGAGACGGGGCCAAACCTTAGGAAACATGGTGGCGGCCATTGCTCAAAGAGCACATGGCCACACCAGAACTTAGCAAAGCAATGGCCAAAAATAAGTCTTTACTCCATACGCACAGAGCCTGGTATGACCGATTCCCACCCTTGCCACCCTTTGAGAGCTCCCAGGATGCAGGAGCCTCTTTGGAAACCGTGTAGGGGGGTCATCAGGGGTTCAGGTGGCCTGGGTGTGACCCCAGCAGGGTACTTACTGTGATTCCTCAGGCAGGTCGATTTACCTGTCTGTGCCTCAGTTTCCTCATCTGTAAGATGGCACAGAACCTACTTCTTTGTTGGATCATTGAGAGAGCATCGTGCGTGTGCGTGTGTGTGTGTGTGTGTGTGTGTGTGTGTGTGTGTACATATTCATTCAACCTTCCTGACAACCCTAAGCGTTAGGTGTTCCTCATAACCCCATTTCACAGATGAGCCGAGCCACAGAGAGGCTGAGCAATTTGTCTAAGGTCACACAGCCAGAGGGCAGCAGGCACTTGAACCCCAGCACTGCGAGCTCGCAGTCTATGGGCCTGGCTGCCAAAAGGGTTGGCTGCAACAGGTGTTGCTTGAGGCCGAGGGCTGGGACGGTGGAAGCCGGGCGGGCTTGGCCTCCCCTCGGGCAGGGCCAGTTTCAGACTCCTGTGAGGCCCCCGTGGCTGGAGGGAAGGAGGCGGCGTCGGTGGAGGTGGGGGGAGCCGCTCAGGGGGCAGACGGGGCGGCCGAGGACGGCGGGACTCCCAGCCGAGCAGAGAGTCCAAGGTGGGGGCAGCCGAGGCGGTCAGCCGAGTCTGGGTGCTGAGCCCTCTGCCCCGTCCGGGCGGCGGGTCGCTCGGGAGGGGGCAGGAGATGGCTCTGGGCTGGACCGGCGCGCCGTGG